GCACCCCCGGGGTTGCGCCCGCTGGCTGCCCGCTTGGGGTGAGGCCGCTGCGGGTGCTGCCAGCAGCCCGGGGAGCAGGAGGAGCGTCTTCCTTGCAGAGAAGGCGGCCAGGCGTTGGCTGGCGTGCCACCGGCCTCGTAGAGGTTTCTGCAGAAGCACTGCAGCCAGGATGGTAGCTCTTGATTGGTGCGGCGTTCTGCTGTTCCTGCATCTTCTCCTACGTTAACGGCGATGCTCAGTTTCCCAGTCTTTTTTTAAAAAAATTGGACTGGTCTTGCTGCTTTCTCTGGCCTCCTTTACCAAGCTATCTTCTGTTGGAGTGGGCACATCCAAGAGAGTGAATTTTCATTTCAGAGCCTGCTCCTTGCCTTGCTCAAAACATCTTGTTGCCTGCCTCAAAGTCCTGCCGGGTTTATGTTTGTGGTAGTTATGTGGCTCCTGGTTGAGCTGAGATCTCAGCTGGCACAAGATAAGGATGCTTCGGTGGGGAACACAGGGCTCTCAGACCTGAGCATGTGTTGTTTGTCACAACTGCCAAACGTGACAGCTTCTGCCTGAAGGTCTCCTGTTCTTGCTGGCTGAGTTGCACACCTTCTCTTATCCCTTTCACAAAAGGGTCCTTTGAGAAATAACTGTGAAGAAGTGCTTGTCAGACTGGTTACTGTGTCTCTGTAGGGTTGGTTGGGCTTGCAACCAAGAAAGACATCTGTCAATTGTCCTCTGTATGAGGAGAGCTTAACCAGTTTCTTCTGGGCTGAGGCCCAGCACTCCTGCTTGAAGAACACGTCTGAGCATGTGGGTTGTACGGCCCTGAATTGGGGCTTCACCATGCTCCCTCTTCCCCTGCTCTTGTGGGACTTAGTCTGGGCTCTTCTCTACCTCTTCTGGTCCCAGGCAGGAATGGGGCCCCAGGACTTTGTGGGGCCTGAAGATCTTTTGTTGCTATTCACATCCCCTCTGTGCTTGAGGCGGATTCTTGGAGTTTGACTCTGGGGCTGGGTGAGGAGATAGGAGCTACTTCTTGGCATTAGTGCTTGGGGGGACTGGAAATGGGGCCATTAAGGACACATTTCCCAGGCTCAGGCAGGTCCCTAGGGTTAGATTGCTCCTCCTGAGTTGTCAGTGCTACAAGCCCTCATCCTCTTGGAGGCAAGTGAATAATTATACCACCTGCAGGGCCTTGCTCTGGCCAGAGTCCCCAGCTCACACTGCAGGGACCTGTTGCCACTAGGTCTGTGTGAAGCATCTTCACTCTTTCTCTTGGGCAAATCTCATCTTCTAGAGCACTTAAGGATCAGGCTGTTGGAAGGACCAGACGCCATGCCTTGCTGGGTTAATATGTTTGTTCACAGATGGTGTGGCAGATGAGAGTTGCAAATACTCTAGAGGGACTGGCGGTTTCCTTGCTTGGAAAATGTTCTTGCTTTGCTTTGTGAAACAATAGCAGGCATGGCCCCACCTAGAGGGAGAATACTGGCTACCTTGCAGTGTTTTGAGGGGCTCTCCTTCCTGGCACCCCACTGATGTACATGAGCAGCGCAGGTGCCTGCCTTCTGCCTTTGGTTTGGCTTTCTGAATAGAGACCTGATCTGGGTGGGGGCGCAGGGAGGCTGCACTCGGTGTTGAGGCTGGTCAGAGCTTCTTGGCTCACTCATTGCCAGCGCAGATGTGGAGCACAGAAGTTTGGACAGGAGCCCTGAGCTCTGTGGAAACAAGGTTGTCTCATGACTGCTTTCATCTGGCTGAAGAACAAGTTGATAGCAGCAAGACAGGCGTTGGCTACAACTCCCTGCTCCCTCTTTATGCGGTACCTGTGGTTGCAGCTATGCCACGAGCTGAACTATGAGCAGATTTAGATGCAATTTCCCCTCTCCCCCCTGCCCCTCTTCTGTGTTGGGCTTGCCCAGAAGATTGGGCGTCTTAGCTGGAAATAGAGACACTGACCCATCCCACAAAGCTGTTCTCTCTGCACCAGCTGCGTCCATGTCTCCTCTTCCTCCTGTCATTTCTTGATATGGAAGAAGGATCTGGGAAGAGTTTTGTTCCATCCTTCACTGCTATTCTGGGTGCTAGAGCTCGTCTGCCAGACTTGGCCATCTACTGGGCAGGAGGCTTTTTGCTTGTCATCCTCTGTGCACGCAGTGCTCCAGGGAGAAGGCGCTGCACCTGAGATTCATCTTAACCTTCCTGGCGGCCTTTGGGTACCTGGAATCAGGAACATCCTCATGAGTAGGCAGGGCAGCAGCTGGAGAAGGAGCAGAAAGTCCTGTACCCCTACTGAGGATGTGCTGTGTTCCTTGTGCATGCCAGGAGCATCCAAGCCTCCCTTGCACCTTGTCCCCTGTCTGTGCTTTTCCTTTTGCTGACTTTTGCCCGGTGCTGTTAAGTGTCCTCGTCTGGAGGTGCATGTGATGCCAGTTCCCCTTGCCTTCTCTGACCTCACTGACTGGCGGGGGGTCTCATTTTGGCAGGGTCCTGTCTCCCCACTGCCTGCCTGTCAGTGTTGGTTTTGCCACCTGAGTGCTGCAGTGTTGTCCGTGTGCTGAACTCTGACTTGACTTGTCTGTGGCCTGTTTCAGTGCGAGGAAGCAGCCTACGAGGAGCGGCAGTACCCAGCTGGGAAGTGGGCATGTGTCACCAAGGGGGAGCCCATGTATGAGCAGAGCATCTCTATGAGCTTCATGAAGCTCATGCGCTACATCTGCAAGGAGAACTCTGTAGGTGTGTGCAGGCAGGGGCTGGAGGGGGGCTGGTAGGCTGTGCAGAGGGAGGGTCCTGCCCACTGTTTGTCTGGAGTGGGGAGAAGGGCTGCTGCCACTGACCCAGCTGTCTCACTGTGCCCACTGCCTTCATGCCTCCTTCCAGGTTGCTATCTGGGCATGACAGTCCCAGTGCTCAACGAAATCCATCTGACCCAGCAGGGGACCGAGCTGGAGCGCGAGGTCATAACTGCCTATTATCTCCCAGGAGAGTTCCAGCAAAACCCCCCTGTTCCCATGGACCCTGAAATCCACATCACTGAGAGGGCACCGCTCCAGGTTATAACAAGGTGACCCCAGCACCAGAGGTGTTTGCTCAGCTCAGCAGAGGTGTATGAACTCCCTGCATGGCTGCTGTGGTTCCTTGGGAGAGGGATGGGAGCCCTGGATGTGGGAAGGGGGAATGTGCTGGCTCTGTTCCTTACATTGCTCCCTTTGCTGCAGGGTTTTCTATGGGATGACCACTGAGGAGACGATTCTGCGAGAGATCAGTCTCTTCTGGGAGCTCTTGGGCTCCACAGACACTGTGCACAGGGAAACCTACATCGTGGCTGCTTATGAAAATCCCAGCATCCCTCAGCGCCGCAATGAGATCTGGTTCATCCGCCGAGCAGAGTGAGTCCCCTCTGACTGCAAACCGTGCTGTGGCTGGACCCGGTGTAGGTGGTGGTTCTGACCCAAAGAAGACGAATGCACATCCTGACCCACCATTCACCCACAAACCGGCGAGATGAGGAGACTGCGGGGTGGGTTCGCACTCTGCCCAGCGAGGGCCTGGCCAAGGGGAAAATCTGCCTGGTCTGGACTTCACCTGCCCGCTCAGGGGCCAGCTGGGGCTGGAGCTGGCACCAGGGAGAGCCTCTGCAGCAGGCTCCTGGTAGGAAGCATGTGGTGGGGGCTCCTGTAAGGCAGTAACCGTATGGGCTTGTGCAGTGTGCTAGCCTGACCTGGGCTTCTCTCAGCTCGGAGCTGGGGTGCAGAGCTGTGCCAGGCATGCTAGTGGGGCCCATGTCTGGCAGAGTCGAAAGCTGATGGTGTGTAGAAGGGAAATGACTGTGTACGAGGTGTGGGGTTCTGTCTGGGCTCAGGCCTGCTTCCTGTGAGATTGGCAACCTGTCCCAAACGGAGACACTGAAATGCTGCTACAGGGACAGTGGGGTTCAAAGGGGGGAAGGGGCTTGCCACAAGTGAGATGTGGGTCCTGAACGTTTCCTGCTGGGGTTGGCTCTCTTTGGACTGTTGGGTGCCTCTCTGGCTGTCACTCACCATCCCTCAGCCAGGACTGGGGTGCTGGCAGCTTTTGCCCATCAGTTGTGGGTGCTGTTTTGAGGACCTGCTGCAAGCTGAGAGGATCCTGACAGCAGCAGCAGCAGTGGCACTACTGTGTGTTGTGTTGTGCATCGATCAGTAAGTTTCACGTCTATGCTTTCCTGGGGGAAACTGGCAGTGCCAACAGTAAATAAACTGAGCTCAAACCACTGCAGCTGCACATCCCTGATGGTGGGGAAGGGGGTTGCCCAGGTTGGCTTGGGAAGAGCCTTGCCTCAAGATGCTTCAGGCTGCAAAACTGTGGCTTATTAGAAGGGCTCTAATGTTTGCCCAAGTTATGGCCTCGTGTTCAGCCAGGCACAGCCTCTGCTTTGCTGCTCAGGCTGCTTACATTGCTGCTACAAACAACTCTGGCCATGGTCCCCTGCAGGTAAGGTGGTTTTCTGTTGCATGGGTCTGCTCTAGCCTCATTTTTCCTCTGTGCAAAAAGTTAGCTCCTTTGTCTGTGCTGCACACAGGCACCTGATCTCGGGGGCTGAGAATTCGAATGTGACTGCACATCATGCTGGCTAGCTGCAGGAACTGGTGTACTTTTGCAGGGACGTGCTCCATGTGGAGGGACTTCTGGCTGCTTCTGACCCAGTTCCCAAGGAGTTTCCTCCTGTTGTAACTGGAGGTGTGCTGTGTGCCTTGCTCCCTGCTGCTGGCCAGACTCTGTCTCTTTGGCCCTGCAGTGCAGACGCAGCCAGGAGGAGGCCAGGGCCAGCTCTGCGGTCTCATTGCCCTAGCAGTGCAGGTTGCTTCTGCCACCCCGTTCTCCAGTCAGATGCCGTTCACTGCCCTGTTGAGGCTGGCTGGCCCTCTGGCAGTGAAGGGAGCCTGGCTGCTCAGCCCATGGCTGTGGGGAGAGTGGGGCTGAGCATGTTACACCCTCTTTGAGGGAGCAAGGTAGCTCCAGGCAGAGCCTGGGAAAGTAATAGCAAGAGCAGACAAGTGGTTTCCTGGGTGTCTTGTGGTGCAGTTCTTGTCCCTGGGGCACTACAGGCAGGTAGGGGCTGGGGAGGTGCTGTGACAGCCTGCAGCTCTGAGGGATGATGTGGCAAGTGCTTATCAGATAAGAGATACCTGGATCAGCTGTGCTCACTTCACTCTTGGGGAAGGAGAAGCAATCCCCTCATGTCAGGCTGGGATCAGGTGGCTCGGCACCTGTGGGAGAGCAAAGTTGGCCAGTGTGTGTGTTATCTTACTGCACATCAGCTGCTTTGCTTCTTTGCCCCGAGCTTGCACGTGGAAGTAAAACTTGCTTTCAAGAGCTCGCTGAATGAGGCTACCACTTCCTCTGAGGTCGCTTGGTCCCCAACCACAACCAAACAGCTTTTGGTGGCAGGAAGCAATGGCTTCCCTATGAGAGAGGATTGTCCTGTGGCTCCTGGCAAAGCCACACAGCCACGTGCCCTGCAGGGCAGCTCGGTGGTCTCCCAGGCCCTGCTAACGGCGGGGGCTTGTGCCGCAGCTCCTGGCGGGCACCACCATGCAGGGCAGCAGCCCTGCTCTCATCCTGCGCCAGGCGCTTGGTCATCCTCTGTGCTGGATCCAGCCGTGCGCCTCGGGGATGCTGTGGGGCGCCTGACGGTGAGTCTCCCCTGCGGTACCAAAAGCTGCTCGCATTTTGGAGGCTCAGCAAGCAGCTGGAAAGCTGGTGTTCAG